CCGGCTCTCTGGAAAAGCACACAACGACGTCTCGAGGACGCATTAGACGAAAACATTTCGTTCTCACGTTCATAAAACGGCGCATCAGGTTTGCGGGAAGGTTCGCGTATCGCTTGCAGGGCGGCGGGCGGGGGCGGGATGGTCGGCCCGCAACCCGCTCTCAAAGACTCTCTTCCTCTTAAGCCCGCCCGGAGTAAGGGGGGTGGCGGTGGGGGTTGGGGGTCGGGGGGTGGGAGGTGGGGGTCGCGATCTGCGGGGCCAGGACTCGTAGGCCCAGAGGGGGCAGTCCACTCCCGCTCCCGACGCCCGCGGCCGTCCTCAGCTCACCCCCGGCCGCTGCAGCCCGCCGCCCATTCAGCCACTGTAGAGGCACACGTTACGGCCCGTGATATATTATGACTCCATTTCGCGCGCGGGGCCCGTGGCCGCCGCCGCCGTCGGGACGCTCCCGGACCTCGCAACTGGCTCCCGACGTCGCGGCGACGGAGTCGCGACGCCCGCCAGCGCACACTCACTGTCGGAAGCTCAAGGCGAATATCGGCGCGAGGCGCAACGACCACACTGAACAGATCCCCGTCTGTAGAGCTACCTTTCTCCATATTTTAAAAATTAACGTATCGTTGAATGGCCGAAAAAAAAGTTTTACCCGAAAGGTATGCTCCGATTTTTATCAAATTTTTATACTGATACATACCGATATCACCTCCGAATAGATCAACATGATACTTTTATTTCGAAATTCCATCAATATATTTTGATATCAAAATTGAGCTAGGTGCTATTTGCAGTGCATCTAGTTTTGCGGACCTGCGGTGCGGTCTGGGCGGGGCTAAGTCAGGGTGGGGCGGGGGGAGGATAACGGTGAGGGTGGAGGCGGAGCCGGAGGGGATGCGGGCGGATGAGGAGAAAAGCAGGGAGGGATATGGCAGGTGGAAATAAAACGACTTCCATTTCGCACGGTATAGATAATTGATTCATTTTCTTGCCTAATAGGCCTATTGTGATAATTAAGTACCCTTGTTAAGCCAAGCTACTTACGCCCGTATCGCAATGAAAGGCAACATTTTCGTGCGTCGTATTTGTACTATTACAGATGGAACTGAAATCTCCCGTGACGTTTAGATCATAATGTGAACAATTCAGCATTGAACACGATCGAGAATTGATTTATTTTGGATTTATTTTACTTTACTTTGCCTCCATATCTCGAATAAATAATGTCTACAAGACGATCGTCTGACCTATACCTTAAATAGAGAGACAAGTGGTTTATACATTTTTACACCGAGAATAATT